GCTTGCCTTTTTGTGTGATGCATCATCTGTAGAAACAGAAACGGAGAGCAAACTTAGTGGCTGCAATTGAAGATAATGACAGACTATTCAAGGACAGGTCCAGAATGCCTTTGAGGGGGGCGATACTTTGACTTTTTCCATGTACCCCTTTACCATTCGACAGGGAAGGCTGCATTTGGGGGCTTTTATAAGTTTTTGGAACAAAACTGAAACAGACAAAATAAACCACATTTCATTACTTCTCCAAGAAAAAGTTGGCACTTGGGGCACAACTCGCCACACAGAAAATAGTCAAACGAGGTTCAACAATGGAAAATGAAGTGAAGAGTCGGAGTAAAGCACTGCCAGAGACACTTCAAGATTTGATTTCTCCATAAATAGTTATAGGTCCAGATGAAAAGCGAGAACTAAGCCAAAAACTCCTCACTGGTACTACTGACTTTGGTTTGGAGCAAGAAAAATCTAATGCAATTTCATGGTGAAATGTTAATAAAAGATACTTACTTTTCTGGAGGATGCTCCTCCTTCAGATGCCTCATCGGTCCTGAAGACCCTTGCCGATCTGGCATGGAGGTCTTCTACATGCTCACAGCTGCAAAAGAGGTTGCGTCACCTTTGCGAACATGAAAATCTTGTTCCTGCCCTCTACTTGCTTATTTTTTCCACATATCGAGCTGGAGGAAAATAAAAATTTCCATAAACAGAAATCATCCATTTTCCCTTGCAGTGGTTTAAAACCATCAGAAAGAAATAACATACATCCTTCAAGGTCAAATTTACCTGTTTTAGCTAAGCAAAAAAGGAGAACAAAATTCCTTGAAATCAAAAGTATTTCAATTCACCAAATTTTCCATGTGTCAAAAGCTGCATGCTAACAATAAGTGGCAATCTTCAGGCTTTTCTCAATCCAAAGAAATTGCTTCAAAGTTTTGTTATGAAGTAGAGAACTTTCATTCAGCATTATCATGCAACATGAAACAGTACATGGTGCCGAGGGGTGATCTATTCAACACAGCCTATCAAATCTGTCATGAATTATAAATTCTTTTTTCAAAAGGGGGTTTTGTACTCTTTTCTTTGAATAGACTCGGGCGGGCAAACAAAAAAGCTCTCCATACGCATCAAACATGTCACAATTGTCTGTATTATATTTTTAGGCACTGGCATGCTCACCTTTGGTATGATG